CTCCAAAACGAGGCTGAGCCCTAAACCGTAAGCATCTGGCAAAGACAAACTGCATCATATAGGGGTGTTAACCATTAGAATAGGGTTTTGGGGGCCCATTATACTATAACTATAATAAGGCACCCCCCAAAATAGATCCCCAACACAGTACTATAATTACCCCCAAAATAAATCCCCAAAATAGTTCAGGTAATTTACTTATATTCTAATACGGAACCCACAATATATATCCCCAAAATAGTACTCCCAAAATAGATCCCCAAAATAGTAAAGGTAATTTACTTATATTATAATGCGGAACCCCCAAAATAGATCCCCAAAATAGTAAAGGTAATTATATAAGGCCCGTATATTACACGCATTGGAACTCAGCTTGAGATTCCGTGATGAGCTTGAGGGATCGCTGAATCCGTGGCTGCTTGGCCAGGCAGGGTTCGTAAGCGGGCTTAGGGTTTAGGGCTTGGAGTTTAGGGTTTAGGGTGACGCTGCATTCACCACTGAAGCGATTGAACCACTGAAGCGATTGAAGAAATGTTCTAGCATCAACGTACCTCCTCTTTTTTCTGTTGCCGCCAAAGGGGCTGATACCAGCTTCCTTGCAGGCGCTGATGGCATCCATGCACTCTGGTCGCGGTGGGTCAATGATGCCTGACAAGCTGTTGCAGAGAAGTTTGGGACCAGTTATATAGTGGCGAAAAGATTAGAGCTTCATCCCTGCGACCGTTTTGTCCTTCAACCCTGATCCAATCGACTCTGCCACGTACTTAACTGGAAGTGGAAGCTGTCTTCCGAACCGGGGAAAGTTGCGACAAGATATACAACCCTGAAGCGTAAGCCCCTGCTCCGAAAGAAAGCTCAGACACCTTTTCCAACAAGCTTCAGATCCTAAACTCCATTGGCAATCGTGAAGCACCTACATGCTAAACCTCTAGGCATGAAGCCCTAAGCTCTGAACTCCACTGCCCCTTAATTTCCCTAATGGCTACTTAAGCTAAAGTCCTCAACAACAAACCTCTAAACTCCAAAATCCTAACGCTTTGAACCCCGGAACCCTAAATCTGTAAACTGCCCCTGGCCGCCTACCATTCCCAAGAAGGTCATCTGCTGCTCAACCGCGGAGAAGTTCTTGGGCTCACAGAGGAGGTCGTGGGAAGGATGCCTTGTCTGATCTTAAGAAGGCTTTCATGCTTTGGAACAAGGGTTTGTGAAAGGTTCTGTATTTAGAATTTAATAATCACAAAGCATATTCTATACCGAGTCTGTACTATAGACCAGGTATTGCCTAGCATGTAAGTTACTTGACAAGAAGCAGGTTCAATAGTCACGGGCGCCCAGGCTTGGAAAGAAATAGTGCTGCAACTTGGTACGAGTAAAGTGCGTTGACACTTTAAAGGATGCACCGGGTTATTCGCACAGTCGCTGCGCGACGACGTCCTAAAACTAGATCCCCACAATCTCGCCGCAGGCATCTCTTGCACACTAAAAAAAAACGCACGCAACCTGGAGCACAGAAGTCTTCGAAATCTACATAGGCCCTCTGAGCCGGCGCGCCGCTCTCTTTTTCCGACCCTAAACCCTAAACTCTCTTTTTTTCCGGGCAGAGAAGAACCGCCTCGGTCCTAATTACTTGCATCGGCGAACTTCGTTTTGCCTGGGCCAGCTTCCCAGTCTGTGCGACTGTAGGGCCCGGTCGTTGAAGGTTTGACATTTACTTACTTCCCCAATAAGCCAGGGAAATAAAAGGTTAAACTTTCAGGCTACTACGAAATTATAAGAACCCCAAAAGATAAAAGGTTGGGTATTTGGGGAACTAGGTTTAACTACCCCACACCCTAAACTCTAGAAGCCCTACAGCCCCCTTGATCCCAGCCTGGAGGAACCATTCTTAAAAGGACCCTATACCCTAGAAACCCCTAAAAACCCTAAACCCTATCACTCTGGGCTTAAGACCCTAAACCTAAACTCTAAACCCTAAACCCTAAGGTCTATAGGACTTGAGCCATAGGATGCCGGACTCGGACCAGCCGCAGGAAGCTCTTGATTCGAAGTCCGTCGGGCGCGAAGCTCTTCGCAATAACTCACAGCTACATAGATTGTACACATATACTGTACATATATATATATATATATATATATTTATATTTATATTATATTATATTACATATATATATATTACAAATATATATATATATATATATATATATTAAATATATAACACATTATGCAAACAATATGCTGCATATACACACATACATATCTATATACAGACATCTCCCAGAATATGGCATACGGTAGTAATTAGCCTAAAGTACATGCATGCAACTGTTGATGGACAAAATTCTGCATGACCCAAACATAGTATAGTACCATAAATCCCATAGTTTATATATATAAGGTCATGCAGGATTCTGTCCATCAACCGAATCACTGCATCTCAGACCTCCGCGGACAGGTGAGGCTTGCCTTGCTCTAAGCTGCTCCTCGAAATCCGCCCTGGAGCGACGAAGCTGTCCTGGATTCCACGGCGTAGGGCAAAAACTGTTAAGGGTTTATAGGGTTTAATAATAAGGGTGCCCTTTTTCCTACTATTTGGCTTTGATAAGGGGGCCCAAAAGCAAAAAGGGCAAAAATGGTATACTGCTCAGGAACCTAGTGTCTTGAGGACTTCCAAGAAAAGCCGCCGCATCACCGCTGGTGTCTAACGTCCAGAAGCCAATGCAGTTGGATAGGGCAGATCTGAATCCACAACCTTGAAAGAACCACCAGCGCCCTCGAATTTTTGGAAAGCGTCGTTGCACGTGGTTGGGTCTGACCAGGACTTCGTAGGTAGTCAAATTCACCATCATGTATGCCACGGTTCTGGCGACTAGCAAACCTACGAAGTAAACCGGGAACACGTCAAGGAGAGCAGTACTCAGAACCAGAATTGGTCGCAACTCGGGTCCAAGAGACCCACTTGTCAGGGCCTGTAGAAGCTCACCGAATGAGCCTCGGGAAATCTCTGGGAACACCGTGTCGAACGCATACAGAAAGACTGTGTAATAGAAGTGCAGGGTTGCGGCAAGAAGTAGCACGACGAACACACTGAATGACCTTTGATTGCCCAAACCCACGCTGTTGTCTATCCAAGGACAGTAGTGGTCCATTCTGTCCACGCATCGGCCTTGCTCCTTGCAGTGATGCGAGCGCATCTTGCGCACGGAGCGGCAGATGACGCACACCTGCTTAAACTCGCCTTTCTCCACCTAGGATGTGCTTTTAAATCCTTTGAAAAATCTTAGTAGGTAAGATCCTCTTAAGCCCAATAAGAGAAAATATAAAATGTCCCAAAGCACTATATATACCTAGCCACCAATGTGAGATACAACCCTAAACCCTAAACCCTAAACCCTAAACCCTATATATACCTAGCCACCAAAGTGAGATACTCGCCACCCCCCTGCAAGAGCAGCTGCTCCACTCGAGCGCGGGCGAGGCTGTCTCCTGCCTTAAGGACGGAATGAACCCCAAAAGGTTTTCAGGGTTTAGGGTTTAGGGTTTACCAAAAATGGATTCATAGTATAGGGGTATAGGGCCCCTACTTATAAGGGTCATTTGGTCCCCAAGGTGCAGCACGCTCGCGCTCGTGTAGAGTCACGGTGGCCCGGTCCAGCTGGGCCTGCCGGGGCGTGTTTTGGTGGAAGCCGGGGGCGATCAAGGGCTGCAGTTCGTGCGAGGCCGGGCTCCTTGGATCGGTGCCTTCTTCAAGTCGCTTCCGCGCTTGCCGGAGGAGTTGCCGCTGATAGTTGTACTTGTTCTGCTCCAGCTCCAGCTTCATGACTTCTGAAACCTCTCCGAAGGCCGTCGTCAGCGTCTGAAGCACGCTGTCGCAGTGAGCCATCTGCGACTCGATCGGGTGATCAACATCAAACGTCCTTGCTGGATCGATGCCAAGCAGGTGGCTCTGAGAGTGTATGGTGCGCGGCTGCAGCCAGCCAGGATCCGAGAAGAGGCACTGAACCCAAAGCAGCAGTGACAACCCCATCAGCGTCGACCATGTCATGACGGCGTCAGGATTTCTAGCTGCGATTCCTGGTGCCACGACAAAGGCAAAAATGATGATGTTGTACGCAACCAAACACAAGAAGAGACCGGCGAAGTAATTCTGGAAAAGGTATGGCTTGCCAAAGAGGAAATTAAAGACCTGGCACTTGTGGAAGGCAAAGACCAAGTACCTGCTCCTCTTCTTCATTGCGAGTGTTATCGGCGTTTCGCCAGCACAATCTGGGACGTCTAAGAGCTCCACAGCCCCAACTTCCATCAGCATTTCTGCGACCACCGTGTGTCCTTGCATCGCTGCCCAGTGAAGTGCAGTCATGCCGTCGAGGTCTCGGTGAACAATGCTGGCGGATCGCGAGAGCAACCACTGGACTGTCTTCTTGTTCCCCTTGTAGCATGCCCACCTTGGCTGACTTCTGAACACCTCCAAAAAGTTAAACTTTTAGTCTCCTTATTTATGGTTCATATAGAAACCCCAAAAGTTAAAGTCCTAAGAGCCAACCAGAAGAACACCAAGCCACTGCAGGGCCGTCCTGCCGTAGTCATCCTGCTCTTCCAGGCTCACGCCTTTGAGGTACATCCACTCCATCACGGGACAATTGTCATTCTGTGCGGACACAACAAAGGCCGTGAAGCCGTCACAGTCGCGCATGGAGAGAACAGCCCGGTTGGCCCCGGTCATGGCTTCCAAAGCTTTCACATTGGAAGATTTGGCAGCCCAATGTACTGCACATTCACCGGAATTGTTGCCAATGTCCGGTCGCGCCTGTTTTGTCAGTAAGGGGATGAGCAGTGAGTCCAGCCTGAACAGTGCAGCATAGTGGAGAGCTGTGTTGCCGTCCGAGTCCTGACCATCTGCTCTGTAGCCCTGTGACAGCATCTCGTTGACTGCCTCCGTGTTCTGTTGCGCGGCGGCATCGGCAACTGATGCATATCCTTGGCTGACTTCTGAACCCCTCCAAAAAGTTAAACTTTTAGTCTCCTTATTATGGTTCATATATAAAACCCCAAAAAGTTAAAGTCCTACGAGCCAACCAGAAGAACACCAAGTATCTGCCACCACTGCTGGAGCGTGTAGGGATCGACCCGCTGCTCTTCATGCTCAAAGGCACCCAAGGGCCGTCTTTCCCAACTACCTTAACCTACCAGAACCTACTTTTTTTGTAGGGTCCCTATAAATCCCATATTAGGGTTGATAATAAGAACCTACAAAAAAGTGGGTTATGGTTGGTTAAGGTAGACTTATGACGTATCGTGCTTGGCTAAACTGAGACATTACTTGTTCATTCCTACAGGCTCATGAAGCGACAGAAAAGCTTGAAATGATTCGAGGTTTTGGGTCGACTTGACTCGTCAGTCGTCTTGAGCACAGGTCGGCCAAGGTGGAGTGGGAAGTCTTCGGCAACCTACGATTAGTATTCTGACTGTGCTTACTCTTCATACTCTTGTTACTACCATTCTTGACTTACCCATGATACTCACATCACTGGAGGCAAACGAAAACACATCCTCCAAATCCACGATTGACGGATCCAATCTTCCGGCCAAGCTCCAGCAACAAGACCTATCCTGGTCCTTAATCACATACCACGGCTTGGGGTAAATACATAAATTGATCGAAAAACCAGAGACGAAAAACACAAAAACAAAAACAAAACACAATTCTGGAGCCCCACCGCAAGGACAGGAATACGCCAAGGCAAAGGAGCTTAAGCGCGATGTGCGCAGCACGCCGACCGCGAAACCCCCTGCAGTGAGACCTGCTAACGGTTTAGGGTGGAGGCGTCTAGGGTTTCTGCACCTATCTGTGGCTGCATTCGAGGTGCTCTGGGCCATCGTAGTCGTTCAGCTTGGCGTCCTTCGAACTATGTAGTGTTCAAGCTAAAGTTGGGTTTTTTCGAGGTCGGGTCAACCCGAAAACTCAGCCAAATCGAATTGGAGCTGGGCCTGTGCTTACTCGCAACATCTTGCAAGCATAGAAGATTTAGGCAAGAGAAGCCTCCGACCGCTACTGAGAACCGCAGAGCCTTACAGTTCTCGTGGCAGCGGCGGTTCAAGAAAAGAGGCCGGGCCTGTAGAAACCGTGTATATGTGGTGCAAGAGCCCTAATGTAGGGCTCTTAGTAATTATACTATTATAATTATAAGGAGGAAAATGTAGGGGCCTTAATAATTATACTGTAGTTATGATACGGAACCCCCACAACCCTATTCTAAT